CTTAAGGGTTTGTTCCTCACAGACTAATTAAGAAGTTATAACAGAATAAAAATTGGAAGTCTGTGAGACAAGGAAGCTCGAAAATTAATATTCAGAACCCCAGTTGTTCTATGTGAGTCTCTTTAAGTAGGAAGAATATCAGAAAGAGCTTAAAATAAAATGCAATTAAAACATGCACTTATGGCTTCATAGATGCTTTTCCATCTGTTTTACACCTCATATTGCCACAGAAAAGAGGGAAGGATACTTATGGAATATGATATGCCTCTTTTGTAAGATATGTAGCTCAGCTGAATGATTCACTCACTCTTACATGCACTTTTTTTTAAGAGAGCCATGAGCAATTCCAAGACAGGAATCTAAATCCATGCAAAAATTTTCCAGCACCCATATTTAACATTTAAATCCCCCACCTCCACTGATTAAAATCTCTGAATAATGGACTTGACTGGTGATCCAGACCAGTTGTCTGGTGTGGACTACTAATTTAGAGCCACTCCATTTTTATTTTATCAAAAATAAAAATAGATATCAATAAAATTACACTAATTGAGGCATCAGTAGGTTAAATATTTTCGAAGATACTGCCCTTCTGAGCTGTGAGACACACTTCACTGCCTGCGGAGGGAGGACTCATACCAGATTCTGCACTTATCTACTGCTCTATTGATGTGTAACAACATGGAGGGAGACGGAGGATGGAGGAGGAAGGTGGGTACATAGTATATGCAGAAGGAGGGGGATGGAAGTGTCCTGGAAGCAGAAATGCAGTGTACTTAACCTGGATCATCAGACCACCCACAGAGGCTGCAGGCACCCGTAGATGAGCGGGGGAGTCTGGAGAACACCCGTACTGCAGGGGAGAACATGTAATTTTGACACTGACTTAAGTATAAGCCAGGGGGTGCTTTTTCAGCAAAAAATTGTGCTGAAAAACTAGGCTTATACTCGAGTATATACAGTACTTGTCTTGCATCTTTCTTTTGTTACAATCAAATGGCTGCATCTAACCATATCCATATTATTTACCAGATGTGTTGTGAATGTGTTTCAGTATGTCCCTTTACTAATGAAATCCTGTTGCTTAATGTAGCACTTTAGTTTTTTCCATCTTGATCTTCTAATTTGTTGATATAATTATGTCATTGATTTATATATACTGATGGTTTTTATTTGATTGTATTTTATAATGTTTTATTCTTCTTTGTAAGCCACCCCGAGTAGCCTCTGTCTAGTGGGGCGGGGTATAAATCAAATAATAAATAAATAATCTACAAACCTATGCAATCAAATACATCTGTAGCCTAGTTACGCCAGATAGTTACAATTTAGTTATGACCATGTATCTTGTAATGTGTTTGCAAACCACTTTGACATACTCCAACTATCATTCAGTACAAGATAAACTCCTTAGTTCCTATTATATCTTTCAGGAACTGAGTATATGTTGCACTTTCAATGGCTTTCATTCTTAATTCTGGGCTGTTAATATCTAAATATTAAAATAACTGATAACATGAAGGCAACCTGATGTCCATTATCATGTGCCGATAGAAACTTTCTACAATACCAATATACTTTGTCTCCATAAAGCCTCATATTCCACTCTTGTTATGAGCACTTGCTGAAAATAGATGTTTAAATTGGACTTTTGTTGTTGTTTAGTCATTTACTTGTGTCCAAGTCTTTGTGACCCCATGTACCAGAGCACGCCAGGCCCTCTGTCTTTAAATTGTACTTACCGTACTTCAGTGAATATAAGCAAGCAGAACAGAAACACAAGGGTCTTGTGAGCAAACTGTGCTCATGCAATGTGCCTTTCCGCTCTGCTATATCCCTACTCCTGCCCTCTGCCCACACCCCCCCAACTTGCTTTAAAACAGATTTTGAGGCTGGACAGTGGACTGCAGGGGAAACAAGGAAATTGTATCCCTCCATACCCTGAATATGGAAATGATTGCACCCATGAAAATTAAGGAAATATTACAAATTACTATTCACATGAACTTC